TGTTGGTGTTGGTGTTGGTGTTTGTGGTGTTGGTGTTGTTGTTGCTGGTGTTACTGTGACTGGTGCTGTTACGTGTTATTTGTTATTGGCTATTTGTCATTTGTTATTGATTATCTATTGCTTGTCCTTGTCCCGCTTCCTGTTATTGTGCCTGTGTTTGTGCTTGTGCTTGTGCTTGTTTCTTATTGTTCCTGTTAGTGTTGTCACCGTTGTTGTTACTACTACAGTACGTATCCGTATTATTATTCGTCTTATTGTCATGGTTAGTATTACTACACTATTTTTCTTTTTTGTATTATTTTCTCATGAAGGTATGAGTCCAGCTCCCCAGGCCTGGAGCCCTTTGAGCAGCCTCCTACCACGGCTCTGTTCTGATCTTCTTCCAAGATGGCTGCGGCAAGAAGTTGAAGCTTATCTCGGTTTAGGGCTTAGGGCTTCAGGGCTTTAGGGTCTTTGTTTTCAGGGCTTTTAGGATTTAACCATTCAAGGTTCAGGGCTGGTTCTGATCTTCTTCCAGGAAGGCTGTGGCGATTTAGACTACATGGGGATTACAAGTGCACACAGTTTTGTACCGGGGTATCAACGGATCCATGTCGTGCTCGTGGCCAGACTTTTCTCCGACCGCGCTGGCCTGTAGAAGCTCCTTTCTTTGCCCGGACCGAGCCCATCCGGTTTTGGGCCCCAGTTTCGAGGTCCCACCGCTGAAGGCTTCAACGGGCTTTTCCTGGCACTCATCGCAGAACCCGCACTTCCTCAGCTCATGGGGATGTTAGTCGGAAGAAACGCTTCAAGAGGCACACCTGTAACCCCGAGTCGAGGATGCTGACAAAACCTCGCTGCCACAGAACTGCGGAGGACTCGAAAGGGCCTTTAAATATTCGACGTGCCCCATACAGGGCCGTGGCTGTCCCGGCCAAGCTACAGGCAAGTTGAACAACTGAAGAGACTCCCCGGCTGAGCTACAGGGCTTAGGTTTAGGGTTTAGGGTGTAGGGTTTAGGGTTTATGGTGTAGGGTTTAGGGTGTAGGGTTGAGGGTTTAGGGACCCTCAAACCTCAATCTCCCCCAGAGCCTAGCCCTAGAGAGCTCTCTTGGAGCTCCCGCCTCTGAAAAATCTCAACTCCGGCCAACCCGATGTTTTAAAGGCCCCGAAATCCCCAGAAGTAATAGAAAAGCAACAAAGAGCATCAATCCTGGCAATCCTGAAAGCTGAGGATACCAAAAGGGCGCCAGAATCCCAAAGATTGAATCCGCAAGCCCATCGGTCATGGACCCGAGTTCCGAACGCGAGTGTACTGAGTCCTACGACATCAGCTTCAAGCTTTCGGGCTATGGTTTAGAGTTTCAGGTTCTTGGGCTCGAGGGTTTAACGTTGACAGGTGTTGAAGGTTTAGGGTTTAAAATCAGGAAGGGTTTCGACATCTACAGCAGGACCGTGTTCGGGAAGGGAACTAGCACAAAAAGCTGAAGTGTCTTTGGCTCTGATCCCGCAAACTCGTGGCATTTCCCATGGTCGCAGGATAGTTGAGGTGTTGGGACGGACGCTTACTTGGAGGTTCATGGGTAGTTATAAGTAGGGTTATAAGTAGGGCAACTATCCATACTAGGGGACTTATAACCCCACTTATAACTACCCATGAACCTCCAAGTAACTCCCACAGTTCACGTCATGCTCAAGTCAAGTGAGGAACAGCCCGACCCTCCGATAATTCCACCACCCCAGGCAAACCTCCCCCAAGCCCACACTATACGATACGATACTATACCATACCATACTCTACTATACTATATTATGCTATACTATATACTATACTATACTATACCAAACTATACTATACTATCCTACACTATACTATACAGTACTATACTAGATGATGGAAACTTTTACTAAAAGGAGACTAGACTAAACCCCCAAGGGCACTACATTCTAGGGGCCTTAAGAATTAGAATGGGGTTTCGGTGTAAATTCCGCTATCATCACAATAAGGAACCCCCCAAAACTTTTTGGTTTTGTATTGAGGCCCCTATATTCTGGCTCCCGGCCTGAGAAAGCACTTGAGTGGTTCAGGGTTTAGAGCATGCGTGTGGTATAGGATGGTATGGCATAGTATAGCATAGTATAGTAT